GGACAGATATGTCCTCTCCCCAACCCCACTTTTGGCTCAGAAGGTTTCCCAGCTTGCTTTCCTCTACTCTTGACCTGCTACTTACTCCGTTAGATACCTAAACTCAGAAACAGCCTCTCTAAGGAAGGGTCACTAAAGGATCACTATGACCCTGGCAGGGGGGGCAGGGTGCAGTCTGTCCTGGGTCTTCTGTAGTCGTAGGGAAGCGCCTGGAGAGAAAGGCAGTAAAGGCTCCCTGTCCAGAAATAGGTATTTCTAGTTCTCCTGAGAAGACAGGGAAAGGCATTCCCTTGTGAACCCACTTCTCCATCTGCAGTCCTGAGATTGAGGCCCCGTACACCAGTGAAGAGGAGCAGGAGCGGCTGCTGGGCCTCTACCAGTACCTGCACAGCCGCGCTCACAACGCCTCCCGCCCACTCAAGACCATCTACTACACAGGCCCCAATGAGAACCTCCTAGCCTGGGTAAGGCGGCCCTAGATGAACTGGTCTTCATACGAATACTGGGTAGATGCCACGAGAGGCATGCCTCTTCTAGGTGATGACCCTTTGCCCCCTCCTCCAGGTGACAGGTGCCTTTGAGCTCTACATGTGCTACAGCCCACTGGGAACCAAGGCATCAGCTGTCAGTGCCATCCATAAGCTGATGCGCTGGATCCGTAAAGAGGAAGACCGGCTCTTCATCCTCACACCCCTCACCTACTGATGGAAGTGGGAAGGCACACTGGGCGTGGGAAGCCATGGGAGCCTCCAGGTGAGGCTGGCTTCTCCTGCCCAGCCAGCAGGCAGGGACTGTGGGTTGGTGCGTGCATTAAAGTGCTTTGGGAAAGACACTTGTGTTTTGTCATTGGTTCTTTTGTGTTTGTTTAGTTTTTGAGGTAGGCTCTCTCTCTACGTAGCCTTGACTGTCAGGAACTCACTCTGTAGACCAAGCTGTCTTCAAACTCGGAGATCCGCCTACCTCTGCCTCCAGAGTACTGGGAATAAAGGCGTGCGCTCTGTCACTGGTTCTTTTACCCATCCAGTCTCACAGATGGACACAGAATCCTCCTTCCCGGCCCAACACATCCCTTACATATGGGGCACATGTTCATTTGAGCCTCTCTCCTCCCACGCTCTGCCAGCATCGGGCCACTCACATGTGGAGTCAGATTCCAGTCTGGGGCTGTTTGGGTTCCATGGAATCCTGCCATGTGTAAAGGGTTCACAAGCCCCATGCTGTTTTTTTCCCTTGTCTGCCCCCCATCTTTACCCATACTCGGTCTTCTCTAGTGCCAGCCTGTCCTTGGTGGGGCCCCCAGAAGCGTGCTTCAACGGATAGTTCAGACACCAGCACTCTGGTTAACGGGCTGCTGTAGTTAAGCACAGGCTGAGCTGAGTAAGACAAGTGCAGATTACCTGGGCCAGCTTTTGGGTAGGAGCCCTTGCCAAGGCAACCCAGTATTGAGCATAATCAGATTCAGAGTCCAGTCTCCTATAGCGACAGGCCTCTGGGGATAATGTTCTTCCCATAAAGGGATGTCTGTCTTAGTTCCTGTATCTCAGCCAGCCAGTTCATCATAACAGCCCCCCAAGAATGAGCCAAAGGACGCCCACTTGACCTCTAGGGCCTTTGGAAGTAAATCTGCCCTAAGGTCACTTGATATGCTGGGCTGTCTTCAGTCACCCTCTTCCTCAGCCTGTCCTACATGAAATACTGTGGACACGGCTGAAGAGATGGCTCAGAAATTAAGAGCACTGGCTGCTCTTCCAGAGGTCCTGAGTTCAATTCCCAGCAACCACATGGTGGCTCACAACCATCTGTAATGAGATCTGGTGCCCTCTTCTAGCCTGCAGTCATATATGCTATATAATAAATAAAAAAGAAATACTGTGGACACTCAGGAGGCTCAGCAGTAAAGGACTAGTTCCATTCCCTCTGCCGTAAGACCCTGGGGCAACCCAGGGCACAGTGCAGAAGGCCTCCACCTTGCTCGTGGGGGCAGGGGGGGGGTAGAGGTGGGCAGTCTCCTGGTCCTGCTGCTGCTTAACCATCTCACTGATCAGAAGCAAAAGGCCTAACTAAAGAGAGAATTGCCTGATAATGTTGTCTTCAGGCTGTCAGAATCCCCTTCATGCAGTCTCTGTAAGTAGGACCGCAATTATTTTTGCCACTAAAACCACACCAGAGAACATGTATGAATTAGCATGGGCCATGTTAAGGATGCACCATGACAGTTGTACTTAACTGGAAGCATAATCTTAGTTACTGGTTTGAACCCAGATCGTGTTAGAATTAACACAGCAACAGGCCACCTTCCCCTACTCCTAAGACCCTCAGAAGCAGGTTTGGTGTGTACCCTGCACATATGCCCTTGGTCTCTTCCTTGCCTATTTTGTGCTTTTTTTCAACTTGCTCCTGACCAGGGCATCAGATCAACCCTTTGGAACCAGGGTGATTCGAAGCCAGACATCCCTGGTTGTTCTGGTGAGCAGTTAGCCCCTAAGTGCTTCTGGTGGCTGCTCTAGCACCTGTAGATATCCAGCCTCTCTCTAGTTCAGCATCAGTTCTGCTCAGGGATAGGAAAGGCGGGTCACAGATAAGCATTGGTACCTAGGACAGTGGCACCTAGGAGTGTGGGGTCTACCTATTTGGAGGTCACGAATTAGATGACAGGCAAGTAAAGGAGGTGTTCCTAATAGAGATGCCAACATCTGCAAAGACCCTGGTAGAACTGCTCTGCTGTGAAACTGGCAGAATCCAAAGTCCAGGGGTTTTCAACCTCTGGATAAATACAGCGTGGCGAGTTGCTTAAAACTGCAGTCTGATGTGGTTGCTGTAGTTAGAAAGAAGCCCCTGATTTTAGTAAGGTGATTTCTGGGTTGAGAAGGAGACTAGTACTAACCCTCTGAAGCAGTGTTCAGAAAAGCCTGAGCCCGTGGAAGGCAAAGTGGCTGGCATTCCTTTGAGGTTAAAATCTCAGAGTACTTAAATAAGTCCTAAGCCAGCAATAGGCCACACCCAGTGAGTTACCTTAGGCATGCTTATACTTAACGCTGCAGGGCCCCATACCTAGCTCGAAGTTCCTGCAGAACCCACAGATGAAAGTAACAAAGGGATTCTCCTGTGGACCCAACAGTTGAGAAACAAATTACCTCCAAGGGGTGCATTGTGTGTGGGGGGGGGGCGGCAGTCACCATCATGGCCACATGGTGGCAGCAGAGAACCAATTAATGGCTGCTCCCCCTCTCCAACTGGGTTGGGCAAGGCCATCTAAACAAGCTTGTGAGGTCTCCCCCACTCCCAGTACCCAGAAATGTCTCACAGTCTCTGGAGGCAGGACCACATTCACAAGAGCCCCTGTCTGGATGTTGTATAGAAAGTATTTGAGTTTTTCTCTGCATGACTATCTTTAGACATGTTGACTATGGAACACTGGAAGGGTGCCATGGTTTGTGTTGTGTATTTATTCATTTCTGGGCCAGTTCCACTTAGGAAAAGGAGCACCTTTTATACTGCCTTGGGCATAGTATTCTCTACCCACTAGGTGTGGCTGCTCCATATGCCATTTCCTGTCAGTTACCAGATGCTCAAGAACTTCATCCTGGAAGGAGGGGGGGTCCTACCCTAGGAATGGAGGAAGAGAATGAACTGACTGTGTTGGGGTGTGTACAGCCCAGGCTCTTGGTGACCCATGATATGCATCTGACACAGGCTGGGTATGAAGGGCCTCCTAACAACACAGTGAGGATTAGCACGGCCCCCACGCAAGGAGGACACGCACATCCGTGAAGCATTTTTTTTTTTTTTTTTTGGTGATTTTAAATAGTGGTTTTAAAAGTATTTAGAAAGGCATCCTAGGGTATTAGCATTCCAACTATGAAAGGATGGCGGGGGAAGGAAGCGTTCACAAAGGTCAGGTTGGAAAGGGGACGCAGGCAGGAGGGTTTACACTGGGAGGGGAAGAGTAAAGAGCCCAGGCCAGACTGGATCCTGTTCAGCCCCTTCCCCCAACCCCCTTAGCCTCTGCCACCCTGTGAAGAGCCCTCAGGAGCCCAGGCTCGCCGAGCTAAGGAAGCCGTCAGGCTAAGAACGCCTCTCCCGGCCCCATCACCCCCAAATACTGAGAAAGACCACTTGCCAAGGGGCAGCTGCTGAAGTCCAGGTGAGGGGGATGGCGAAACAGATGGGGTCCACTCACTCACCCATTCTGGAAAAGGGACTCTGAGTACCAACCAACCAGAACTACATTCTCGTTTCAGAGACTGAGTTCACAAAACAAGGCTCAGAGCAGACCAGAGGTGCCCCAGAAGTCAGAGCCCTTACTTCTTCTCCCACATCAGGGCACTGGGGGAGAACCATTTACCCCTTCCCTCCTGTCCTGGATTTCCACACACTGAGATCCCAGTGACAGGATCAGACTAGAGGGCTGGATCTTCACATAGGTTACCTCTGGCTACTATCCAGCTGGGGGTGGGGCGGAGTCCATTAACCCTTATGGCTCTGGGCAGGCAGGACAGGGCACACCGTACCTTCCTCTGACACTGCTCAAAATAGGCACCTGGGATTATGGTGCCCACCCACAGAAAGTGTGTCCTATAGTGTTCCATTCTGGAGCCCCACGCATCACTGTCCTTCTGGGTCTTCCTGGTTTCCGTTCCCCACATAGTGAACACTGGTGTCTGAGCGAGTTCCTGTGAGTGAGGGCCGTGGGGAGAGAAGAACCATAGTGCCCTGCAGCATTCTCGCCTCAACCAGGTGGGTTGTGGGGGAATCGGATGGTTCGGGAATACTCCTTCCCAGGCCACTCCACTCACACCCACCCGCAGGCCACTGAAAAATGCACATCCAAGAGCGGATATAGGAGACAGCCTTCCCTTCTCAGGGTTGGAAAGAGTCAGACAGGGCTGGAAAAGACAGCAGCGCCTTCAACAGGGCTCCGCCCGTAGCCCCGCCCCCAGCCCGGCCGCACCCACGGGGCCGGAGCCTTTCGACTTTGATCCAAGTAGCTGTGGCGGCAGCGGCTGCTAGAAGAAGCCGCTGGAGCCGCAAGTGAGGTGGTCGCACCATTGCCCTGCCCGTGCGTCCACAGCCAGGTGCTCAGACCACAGGGCAGGGGGAAAGGTTGGATTTGCCAGGAACCAGAGCCGGGGTCAGCTGCCCAGGAGCTTTCAGTACTAATGCTGGTCTCAGCTCGGACCTGAGTCTGGTGGGTCAAGTCCTGGACCTTCTGAGATTCCCGAGGGGTTCCAGCTCCGTCCTAATGGGGCTGCGTCTGCTGCTGCTACAGTCCTCTCTACTGCTAATGCTTCTTTTGTGGCCGCCGGCGTCCACCAACCTGGACTGGCAGTGCCCACGAATACCCTTCTCAGCCTCCCGAGACTTTAATGTAAAGTATGTGGTCCCGAGCTTCTCCGCGGGTGGCCAGGTACAGGCCATGGCAACCTACGAGGACAGCGAAGATGGGAGTGCGGTGTTTGTGGCTACACGCAATCGCCTGCACGTGCTTGGGCCTGATCTGCAGCATATAGAGAGCCTGACCACCGGCCCTGTCGGGGATCCTGGCTGCCAGACTTGTGCGAGCTGTGGTCCAGGCCCTCACGGACCACCAAACGATACAGACACACTAGTGCTGGTGATAGAGCCGGGTTTGCCGGCCCTGGTCAGCTGTGGCTCAACCCTACAGGGCCGCTGCTTCCTGTACGAGCTGGAGCCTCGGGAGAAAGCCCTGCACTTAGCAGCACCAGCCTGCCTCTTCTCGGCAAACAATAACCATCCCGAGGCCTGCCCGGACTGTGTGGCTAGCCCCCTGGGCACTCGTGTGACTGTGGTGGAGCAGGGCCATGCCTCCTACTTCTATGTGGCATCTTCACTAGACCCAGAGTTGGCCGCTAGCTTTAGCCCACACTCAGTGTCCATCCGGCGCCTTAAGGCCGATGCTTCTGGATTCCAACCAGGTTTTCCTTCGCTGTCTGTGCTGCCCAAATATCTGGCCTCCTACCCTATTGAATATGTGCACAGCTTCCGCTCAGGAGACTTTGTCTACTTTCTGACCGTGCAACCTACCAGTGTCACAAGCCCTGCGAGCGCCCTGCAGACTCGTGTGGCCCGGCTCAATGCTGTGGAGCCGGAGATGGGCGACTACCGGGAGCTGGTCTTGGACTGTCACTTTGCACCTAAACGCCGGCGTCGGGGAGTCCCACAGAGCACACAACCCTACCCAGTGCTTCAGGCAGCCCACTCTGCTCCAGTGGATGCCAAACTGGCTTTGGAGCTGAGCGCCTCAGAGGGCCAGGAAGTGCTATTTGGGGTCTTCGTGACTGTCAGGGATGGTAACTCTGGGATGGGTCCCAACTCTGTTGTATGTGCCTTCCCCATTTACCAGCTGGACGCCCTGATTGAAAAGGGTGTAGAAAGCTGTTGCGACAATTCAACTTCTCCTCGGCCCTGGAGAGACCTCGACTTCTTCCAGACACCCAGTCTTTGTCCTAATCCGGTGAGCAGAAAGAGCAGGCCCTTGACCTGTGAGTACTCTGTGGGGCTGACTACAGGCCATTTCCTTGCTATCACTGACAGGGTCTGGGTGGGAGAAGGCAGGCAGAAGGAAGCATTCTCTTCTTGGCAGTTCCTAAGTTCTGGAGGTAGTTGGGGAAAGCAGACAAATAAAGGCCATACTGAAGCTCATCCCAGCATGAGGGCCTCTGCCTCGTTTGGTCTCTAACCTTTCCTGTCATCTGAATTTTTTTTTTTTAAGGTGCTTTCCCTGGCTATGTGAGGAGGGGCTTACATCATAGTTGCCTCTGCCAGCACAACTTCCAAATTCCAGGTCAAATTCCCCTCCAGCCTGCCCCACACCCACACCCTCTGGGACACAGAGAAGGATATATACACAAAGATCAGCAGCTGTTTACCAACACAGTTTCGCTCCCCTATAAAGGCACTGTGCTGTTCTGCCTTCAAAGACAGCCAGGCAGGATTGCCAGAAAACCCTCATCCCAACAGGTTCCAGGGAACCTCGGGAGTCTGGGGGCTTCCTAGGGAGCCTGCGCGGTCTGTGATTTACTAACCCGTTCTCCACGGGGTCATTACAGGAAAATCTGGAACATAGTGGAAAGGCAGTTTCAGCCCAGCTTCTAGAAGCTTCCTGGAAACCTCACCCCAGTCTTGTGCAAGCAGCTATAAGCAATTGAGGATGAGTAAAGGCGTAGGAAGGGCTGGTTGGAACTGGTCCACCCTGGCCTTTCTGTCACTGCAGTCAAGGCCCTGCTCCAGGCAGGAGGTCTCACAGCTGTGCATCATGTCAGGGAGCCAGAACAGAAAAAACAAACAGGAAACAGGATGTCTTTAAAATGCTACCTTGAGGGCCTAGGAGATGTGAGGCCTGGGTTTGAGGGCCAAAAATAAAAATAAAAAATAAAAACAAAAATGCTTTCTTGAGGACAAAAACAAAAGCTATCTCCTTGAAAGCATTCAAATAGTCTCACCAAAGACTATTGAGAGATTAGAGCAAGAAAAAAGGTTGGATGGGGTGCTGGATGAACGGCCTTCTATCAAGTGGCCCACGGCCACACCCTTGGAGTCTCTGGCCACCCAGTGCCCTTGGCTCAGCTGTGACAGTTTTTGTTTGTCCCCCCACACACACACCATCACCACCCGTTTTGGACATACTAGGAATTGCGGTTTGAAGCTGGGGCCTCACACCGGGGAGTCAAATGCTCTACCATAAGCTGTGTCTCCAGCACCCTCCTCTCTCTTTATACTTTGAATTTGGAAACAGAGGCTCACTAAAGTTACCCAGGCTGGCCTTGAACTCACTCTCTAAACCCAATCAATGCTTGAACCTGTAATCCTCCTGCTTCAGCCTCTGGAGTAGCTAAGGTTATAGACCTGTGCCACCAGGCCTGGCAGTGGCTGTGACACTCTCGGCTGATTGATTTCCAGCTCCCGTTAATGCCCTGGAGGCATCGATTTTACATGTAGTGTTGGGGGAGGAATTCATTTTTCTTTTTAGAACTTGAAGGACCAAATCCAGAGCCTCATGTGCGCTAAGCCTCTACCACGGGTTGTTATATCTTCAGCTTTTTTTTGTTTGTTTTTGGTTTTTGAGGCAGGATTTGCTATATAGCCAAAGCTGGCCTTGAACACATTGTATATATAGCTCAGGTTGGCCTTGAATTCAAGATTTTCCTGCCTTCACCTCTCAAATGCTAGTATTAAAAGCATGCACCAGGCCTGGTGAAAATTCCTCTTTCTTTCTTCCTTCCTTTCTTTCTTTCTTTCTTTCTTTCTTTCTTTCTTTCTTTCTTTCTTCCTTCCTTCCTTCCTTCCTTCCTTCCTTTCTTTCTTTCTCTATTTATTTCTCCAATACTAGAGACTGAACTCAGGGCCTTGGACATCTCAGGCAAGTGTTCTGTTGCTGAGCAACATCCCTAGCCTTGGAGTGGAGATCTCTGACCCCTCCCCTCAGCTGAGTACACTTCGGTTGAGAAACCCTGGGAGTAAGAACTTTTTGTCTGAATCTAGATGAGAAATCAGAACCTCTCCCAACTTAGCTAGAGGGGCCATGACTGCATGGTACCAGGCACCAGGAGAACTAATCTTGGGCCCTGCCTACAGGCGCTAGGTGTGGAGCTATGCCAGGTCTCTAAAGATATATAAATCAGTGTTTGTCCAGTGACTTTAAGTGTGTCGCCACTGTAGCAGCCACAGTGTACTCATGATGGTTGATCTAAAGACTAGTGCCTGCCTACCTGGGTTCAGGGAGGGTGTGGAACAGCTACGGGGAATGGGACACTTAAAGCCAGTGTTTTCAGGGCTAGAGACCTTAGCCAATCCTAGGACCCAAATCTAAGACCCTCTAGGGCCCAGAGGGAAACAAACGGGGTGTGTTCTTACCTGAGTTAGTGCCTCTGAGCACCAGAGCCACACCTGTCCCTGAGTCATGATGAAAACACCTGGCAAGCTTCTGGCTAGGGCCAGGCCCCTTTCCTTCTCAAATGATGACAAAGTCCAGGTCCCCACCCAAACAGGATATAGACCCAGATCAGGTGGGGTGTCTAGACTCAACACTGCTTGCTCTTGCCCCTCCCCTTCCCTGGGCTTGCTTATCATGACTGAGGTCTAGGAATGGGTCAACTCTGTGTGAACTGAAACAGGTTCTGAACACCTAAGGCTCTCTCCTGGCCCTTCCTGTTCCTCTTCCCCAACCCCAGCATCTTGAATACATACATTGGCTTCCTACCTTCCCAGGACCATCCACAACTCTGTCCTAAGAATTTACACCTCTTAGCTAAGAGCAAGGGAGAGGTTTGTGTCTCCCAACTTTTTTTTTTTCTTTTGTTTTTGTTTTTGCTTTTTAGAGACAGGGTTTCTCTGTGTAACAGTCCTGACTGTCCTGGAACTCCCTTTGAGAATAGGGAGCCTGACTCTAGCAGGCTCAACTCACAATCTCCCAACTTCTTAGGCTTAATCTGGCATTCAGGTCATGGGCTAGCCTTGTTTTATTTTTGTACCTGAGGGAGGTAACTGAAGGATCTATGGAATCCCAGGGAACCCATGTAGCCAATCTTGGGAAGCCACTGAACCTCAGAACCCAGTCCCCTGCACAGGGAAACTGAAGCCCAGGACGGACGTTTGCTACAATGACTTACAAAGGCAGAGTACAGCCAGCAGGGGGCGGGAGAGTACTCCGGTTAAGAGTGCCTTGGATCTTGAGGGGCTGTGAGGCCTTGGGTAAATGAATGGATGTGAGGACCAGCTGGGTCTACAAGACTCCATAATTCATCATCAGATTGGACCAAGCAGGATAAGGCAGGGAGTAGTTGAAGGGGACTCCCACATAGCAGGGCTGCCTCCGCGACCCCGGATTAGGCACAAACCACACCTAAACACCTGTTTTCACAGAGAGAGTCTTTATTAAGCAGGGAAGAAAAGTTAAAGTGGCTGCTCCCTGACTCAGTCAGAAAACAGCCGCAGATGACCCTGCAGGTGTCTTTCTTAAGAAGAGAAAAGGGGGGGATGTCTGTGTTAGAACGGGCTAGGATGCTGTGGTAAAGGAGGCAGGGGATGAGGGAGGAGGGGAAGGGAACACGGGAAAGGGGACGGGGGTATTGGCCCCAGAGGGACAAAGGACTGTCTCTGGATAGAGAGGGGACACGCGTGGCACGTAGGCAAATGGCAGTTTTTAAAGGTAAAGGGGGAAACCTCGTGTTAGGATGAGGTGTTTAATTTTTTTTTAATTTTTTATTTTTTTAATTTTTTTTTTAATGTGTATTGATGTTTTGCCTGCATATATGTCTGTGTGAAGGTGTCAGATCTTGGAGTTACAAACAGTTGTGAGCTGCCACGTGGGTGCTGGGAATTGAACTCAGGACCTCTGGAAGGGCAGTCAGTGCTCTTAACTGCTGAGCCATCTCTCCAGCCCGAAGTGTTTAATTTTAATTGGGCATGTTCATTAGGTGAATCAAAGGGGACTTTTGATTGCTGTGCTTTAACACTCTTGATAGCTGCACCTTGGTGGTCAGCCTCAAGAGGAGGAAGTGGCCAAATAGGGGAATAGATCTGGATGGCTAGCTCCGGGAATGTAATCTAACGGTTCTTAGCAAGGCAGAGGAAATGGGAGAGAAGGGGAAGGCCTGCCGGAGCTGTACTCGCTACTCTCAAAGTGGCCAGAGTCCCTTCAGTAGGGGATCTGGCTCCCTGGACTGGGCCTTCCCTGCCCTTGCTATCTCCAAGAGCCTGTGAGCAGGGCAGTAGCAGGTAAGGGGCAGGCTCTGGGCCTCCTCTAGCCAAGCAAGGTGAGGGGTAGCAGTTTGGAGCGGCCGGAAGAGTCCGTGCACAGTCCTGAACCCTGGCTCTTTCTCTTGCCTGGATTTCCCCAGCCAGGGGTAGAGGGCCCCGGGCCCAGCTTCCGCTGCCACTACTTCCCTCTGCTGGCCAGCAACGCCTTCCTACGTGTGGACCTATTCAATGGACTGTTAGGATCCGTGAAGGTCACTGCGCTGCACGTGACACGCCTTGGCAATGTTACGGTGGCCCACATGGGCACTGCGGATGGGCGAATCCTACAGGTAGGTCCTTTACACTCCCCCCCCCCATCTGTTTCTGCGTTCCCGTCCCCTGCCCCTGCCGTTTTTCTCATAGCTGACCTTATGACAGGTGGAGATAGCCAGATCATTCAGCTACTTGCTCTATGTGTCCAACTTTTCCCTGGGCAGCAGCGGGCAGCCTATTCACCGGGACGTCAGTCGCCTTGGGAATGACCTACTCTTTGCCTCTGGGGACCAGGTGAGGTGTGCCGGGTCAGAACTTGGGGTTCAGGTGGTGGTATCACAGCCTCTCTGTCAAACCTAGAGAGGCATCGATATGCAGACCTTACCTCTCTAATCTACAAAGGGACCAGCAGGGTCGATGGGGCCCAGTTCCCACCCTTAGCCATCCCTGAGCCACCTGTTGGTCACCCCAAGGTCTTCAAGGTGCCCATCCAGGGCCCCGGCTGCCGACACTTCCTCACCTGTTGGCGCTGCCTGAGAGCACAGCGTTTCATGGGATGCGGCTGGTGTGGGGACCGGTGTGGCCGGCAGGAGGAGTGTCCTGGCTCCTGGCAACAGGACCTCTGTCCACCTGAGATCACTGAGGTACAGCTTCCCCCACCAGGGCTCGGGTAACAGAGGGACAAGCAGGGTGTGCATGAGGGAAGATCTGATCACGATCTTCCTCACTCTGAAATGCCCATAAGGAAGGCGTTCTTGTCAGAGGGGATGGCACACAGAAAGACTTGGGAGGCAGGAAAAAAGTCTAAGTAAGGACTAGCATGTGACCTAGAATGGCGGAGTGTGAGATAGGCAAGAGGTATTAGCAGGGGACTCTGGGGGAAGCAGGAGGGGCTGGGAGAGTCCAACCCCACACAAAAACGGGGGCTGTTCTCTCCACTTCAGTTCTATCCTCACAGTGGACCTCTGAGGGGCAGTACAAGGCTCACCTTATGCGGCTCCAACTTCTACCTGCGTCCTGATGTGGCACCTGAGGGAACACACCAGGTCACCGTGGGCCAAAGTCCCTGCCGCCTGCTGCCTAAAGACTCTTCAAGCCGCAGGTATGACATGGCCCCTGCCTTCCCTGCCCCTGATCGAGAGTGGCCAAGCAGCCCCTCGTTTGTGAGACCGTGTTCTGGGAAGGGTAGGGACAAGCTATATTGACTTCTCGTGTCTAATATGTCTCTGTCCCTTTTTGAGCCTACATGTGCCCTATTTGTCTGTTTGGTTATGGGACCCTGTCCCACTCAGTCCTGTCTGCTGTCAGAAAAAGGCGTGGGTGTAGATGCCATTCTTAGGTTCAATAAGCCTCGTGACTTGTGGCAGGCATACGGCCAGCCCTGTGTGATTCCTGACTGACCTCATGGTTCCCTTCCTGGTGTCCCAGGCCAGAGTTCCACAAAGCGTTTGTAGAAGAACTTGAATGTGAGCTGAAGCCTCTAGTCACCCAAGAAGCAGGGACTACAAATGTGAGCCTTCTCATCGCCAACACACCAGCAGGCAAGCACTTCCGGGTGGAAGGCAGCTCTGTTCGGCAAGGCTTCTCTTTCGTGGTGAGGCCATACTGCTCGGGCTTTGCCCTTGGTCCGTGGGTGGTACAGAGGGATGGACTTGGGATGAAAGGTTCCATTTCCATATTCTCTTAGGAACCACTGCTGACATCAATAAAACCTGACTTTGGCCCGCGGGCTGGGGGTACTTATCTCACCCTCGAGGGCCAGAGCCTGTCTGTAGGCACCAGCCGAGCAGTGCTGGTCAACGGAACTCAGTGCCAGTTGGAACAGTAAGTGTTATCAGGCAAAATGACGGGAGGCCACAGGCCCCTGCCCTTGGGAGACTCCAACTTGTATCTGCATCCCGAGTTGGCCTGATATCTGAGGGAACCTAACAGGTTCCTCCAGGCTGCTGCCTAAGGTCCCCCAAGCCTCAGGTACAACGTAGTCCCTGCCTTCCCGATCCCCGATGAGGACAACCTCTTACTTGTGAGACCCTTTCTTCTGTTCCCATCCGGGGAGCCGCACTAGCGGGTGCCTAGATACTGCCAGTGGGGAGAGAAGAGGGCTGGGTCACATGGTCAATGTAGGGATCAGTTCCAAGAAGGAGCTGCTGTCCCTTCCAACCCAGAGACAAGAGAGCCCACCACAGAGGCCACTGTCTCCAGTCAAGGGTACAGGAGCTTGTTCCCGTTCCTGTCTTCTTGGAGGTCTTACTGAGAGCTTCCTATCTCCAGACCCATGGAGTATGGGTGGGTGGGAAAGCCAAGCAACAGAAGAAATAGGAGGGAACTAAACCCCGGAGGAGGTAAGCCTCTCCTCACAAGAAGGTGCCCCTGTGCCCAATCTCTCCCTCCTGCAGGGTCAGCGAGGAACAGATTGTATGCTTCACACCTCCTGGAGCTGGCCCAGCCAGGGTCCCCGTTCATCTGCAGATCGGAGGTGCGGAGGTGCCTGGCTCCTGGACCTTTCACTACAAGGAAGACCCCATCATGATGGACATCACCCCCAACTGTGGTTACAGGTAAGTGCCACCTCCTTGACTACTTTGGCCTCCAAGAAATGAGAGAACCAGCTCCCTGAGTCCTCTAAACCCACCGCCCTTCCCTTCTCCACAGTGGCTCCCACGTCACGATCCACGGCCAGCATCTGGCTTCGGTGTGGCACCTAGCGCTATTATTCCATGATGGACAAAGAACAGTGCAGAACAGGGTGAGTAGAGCAGGTGGTGGCCAGGAGGGAGGAAGGCTGGACAAGCCCCCTGATGTCCAACTTCACCTCACACTGGGCTGAGGAGCCCGGGGCAGTCAGGGCTGGGCCATTTGCCTCACTAATTTCACGTGGGTCTCAGCAGTGCGCAGGGCCGTTTCTGGAACAGCAGCGTCAGTGCCGCCTGCCTGAATATGTGGTCCGAAACCCTCAGGGCTGGGCAACCGGGAATCTGAGCGCCTGGGGGGATGGAGCAGCTGGCTTCACACTGCCTGGTTTTCGCTTCCTGCCCCCGCCCAGTCTGCCCAGAGCTGGCCTAGCTCCACTGAAACCTGAGGAGCATTCAGTTAAGTTTGAGGTGGGTATAAGGGACAGGGCAGGGAGGGACAGTGGTGATTAAGAGAGAGTCCAGCCTCTGGCTGACCCTCGTGACTGTCTCTGCAGTACATTGGGCTTGGCGCTGTGGCAGACTGCGTGAGTGTGAACGTGACCGTGGGTGGTGAGATCTGCCAACACGAGCTTCGGGGGGACGTGGTGGTCTGCCCCCTGTCCCCCTCCCTGCAGCTTGGCAAGGATGGTGTCCCATTGCAGGTAGGTGACGCAGCTGGCCCTTTCAAGAAACCATGAGCTGAGGGGCTGCAGTCTGGGCTGAAACTGCCATCTGCTTCCAGGTCTGTGTAGGTGGTGGGTGTCACACCCTGGGCCAAGTGGTTCGGTCAGGCCCAGGCAGGGCCTCACAGAATACACTCCTGATTGCTCTGCTGGTCTTGATCCTGCTTGTGGCTGCACTGGCCATTGCTCTTGTCTTCAACGCCCAGAGACGGAAAAAGCAGCTAGGTGAGCTCCCTACCTTCATCTAGACTCAGCTGTACCTCCACACAGTAGCATCTGCAATCCCCAGAACTTGGGGGTCTCCCACACTTCCTCAGTGGGACTCGGTCCTCAGGAGCTTCGAGAAGGCTCACCACCAGGGGCTTGTCTTTCCACAGTCCTTGTTCCCAACCTAGATGACCTGTCATCCCTGGATCGGTCTCCCAGAGACATGGCCCTGTCTGCATTCCACTCTGGCTCTGACTACAGAGGAAATGGCCACGGTGAGATGGTGGGAGGCACTGGAAGCCAGGGCTTCCCCTCCCCCACAAGCTCTCACTCCCTCTCTCCAACAACACTCTCTGACGTCGATGATACAGCTTCCGGACCTCTGAGCCGTGAAGAATCTAGTGAGGATGGGACAAGTGTCCCACTGCTGCGGACAGAGTCTATCCGGCTCAAGGATCTGGACAAGACGCTCCTGGCCGAGGTCAAGGATGTACTGATTCCCCATGAACGAGTGGTCATCCATAGTGACCAAGTCATTGGCAAAGGTGTGGGGGATGGATTGGGAGGTGGGGCAGGGGCAGAGGAGGAGTCTTGAGATTGACATGTGCTGGAGGGACAGTTAGAGTAGACTCTGCCTTGGCCTTCTCGCTAACTTGTATGTCCTTGAGGCTACTACTTCTGAGCCTCCGTGGGGTCATCTTTGGAGACCTTAATCTTCAGTGGCTGCTGGTGTGGATAAACGGGCATGGGAGGACTGTAAATGGCTCCACCACTGTGTGGCTGCTGCTTGGTTTTTATGTCACACTGGCCAGCTTGGGGCTCCAAGGTGGCTAGTTATAGAGGGCATGCCGTGAGTCTGGACGCTAAGGTCGCTCTTTACCATCTTGATCTTTCTAGGCCACTTTGGTGTTGTCTACCACGGAGAATATACAGACGAGGCACAGAATCAAATCCACTGTGCCATTAAGTCTTTGAGTCGTAAGTGACGCATAGGCCGGGTGGGTAGAAGGGGGACCTCGGGCTGGGAGGCCCTTTGTTCCCGCTGTGCTGCCGCTTTACCAAGTGAACCCCGAGAGGAGCCTTCCCCGCAGTCTCCACCTGACCCTTGTAGAGGGCCTCCCTGCCCTTGGCCTGACCTGTGCTGCTCCCCAGGCATCACAGAGGTCCAGGAGGTGGAGGCCTTCCTGCGGGAGGGTCTGCTCATGCGTGGCCTCCATCACTCAAACATTCTGGCTCTCATCGGCATCATGCTACCCCCCGAGGGGCTGCCCCGGGTGCTGCTGCCCTACATGCGCCATGGAGACCTGCTTCGATTCATTCGCTCCCCTCAGAGGGTCAGTGCTCTGCCAACCGGGGTGGGAGGTGTCAGCCAGCACCCAGCTCTGCCAGTGCTCACCTGTCTCCTCACGCCTTCAGAACCCCACTGTGAAGGACCTCATCGGCTTTGGCCTGCAGGTAGCCTGTGGCATGGAGTACCTGGCAGAGCAGAAGTTTGTACACAGGGACCTGGCTGCTAGGAACTGCATGTGAGTAGCTCGGTAGCTGGGGCGAAACAGAGGGACAGGGTATGGGGATACGCAGCTGCTAAAGGTCACCTTAGGAGAAGACCCAGTCCGCCCTTTGCTCTGCAGCCCTAGGCATTTTTCTGTCTGCCTGGTACAGGGCTAGGCAGTGTGGTTCTTGATGGGCTTGGGACAGGTGGACCTCAAGACCTGGTGGGAGTCAGTTCTTAGGCAAGTGCTCTGCCACTGAGCCACAGTCCCAGCCGAACACAAGTTCCATGTGTGCGTCCCTCTTCGCAGGCTGGACGAGTCGTTCACAGTCAAGGTGGCTGACTTCGGCCTGGCACGTGACGTCCTGGACAAGGAATACTACAGTGTTCGGCAACGGCGCCACGCTCGCCTGCCTGTCAAGTGGATGGCCCTGGAGAGCCTCCAGACCTACCGGTTCACCACCAAGTCTGATGTGGTAAGGCACCCTCTGCTCCAGGTCCCCTTGACCTCCATGCCCTAGAGTATTTGGTCTCGCTTCTGCGTAACCTGAACCCAGATACTCCCCAGGCTAGAAAATGGAATCCGGGATCTGCCAGGGCAAAAGAAGTCTGTGAATTCTTTCATTCCTTATGAACTGTCCAGGGCTTGTAACTCTGAAGGTGTGGGAGACACAGGGAAGAAGTGTGTACTGTATTAAGGAATGAGCTCTGGGCAGAGGTGGGGTCCTTCATTTCTGGGGAAAGACTCTGAGAGATAGAGGATCTAGAGGACCCACTTGCCCCCAGACTTGGGGTGATAGTTGAGTCAGGTCTCCTCACCTTTCTCCAACAGTGGTCATTTGGTGTGTTGCTGTGGGAACTGCTAACACGAGGTGCCCCACCGTACCCCCATATCAACCCTTTTGACCTCACTGACTTCCTGGCTCAGGGCCGTCGCCTGCCTCAGCCTGAATATTGTCCCAATTCACTGTGAGTATGTAAAGGGGGCTGGGGGGTGGGGGCAGGGTTGGGCTCCAGAGACAAGGAAGGAGCAGGAGACCAAGCTCCTGTCTGGCTTTTTATCTGACCCTTTGGTTGACCAGGAAAGGGAGCCTCTCTAGGACTCAGTTTACTTATCTGTGTACTGGTCCCACCCCCATGCAAGGAAGGACTCTGAGAGGCCCTCACAGTTGCCATGGTAACAGCATTCCAACTCAGAGTCTGGGTTGAGGCCAGTGGTTTGGTTTCCCAGATCTCTTTCCCCACCCCACTCCTGCAAAGGGAGAGAAAGGGGCCGTTCCCCATCTCCGCCACTCACTCAGCCTCAAAGAAAGGTTTCGCTAGCTCCCACACCAGTCCCTCTGCTCTCGCCATCAGGGCTTTTTCACCTTATGTAGTTCAGGGTTTCTCATTCCCGAGGGACGGCGGCGGCTGGTGTCATTGGTGCCCGTGGGGTAGGTTTGGCTCCCTAATCAGCAGGCACACCTCGGCTGTGCTCAGGTCTGCATGCTTAGAACAGGCAGAACCAGGTCACAGGTAGAGCTGTGGATGACTCCTGTCCCAGGCTGTGCTCCAGAAAGAGTGTGAGGAGTTCTCAGAGCTCTCCCATCTTGGCCTTGACCTTTCTGTTATCTGTCTTACTAATGAATACAGTCTGAAGTAAGGGAAATTAACATTACTGCCTGCCTGTATCTAAGACAGGCTCTCTGAACAGAGTAAGGTGGAGAGTTCCATGTGGGGGGCTTTAGTGTAGGTTTGGGGAGACAAGAGAGCCAGGGGCAGGGTGGCTATGACAAGCATGGGAAGGTGGAGCCCTTCTACAGCACTGTGGGAGCTAGGCTGGCCCTCCGGAGTTTTCAGAAATGGAGACCAAGGGGCCAGGTCTCTGTCCCAGGCATTAGTCACTGTCACAGCTGTCCCTGGTGAGCAGACGTGAGATTGGAAAACATGTTTCCCTTCTGCCTAGAGAAGGCTTCAGCTAAGAGCCATCAACACGTAACACTCTCAGCCAGCAAAAAGATAAAGGGGATCTAAGTGGCACACGGCAGAGTGCACTCAGTAGGGAGAGTCCCTTTTCCTTGCTGAGCTCCATTTTGCTCATCTGTAAAGTGGGTATTATAGCAACACGCCCCTCAGAGAGTCTGAAACACTTAGACTATAATTTAAGGCAGGATGCCGTCCCTACGACGACAAGGCATCTCTAAGATCCAGCAGGCCAGCCCACAGAACCGCAGCTTCAGAACCCAGAACCACTGTGCGGCTCGCTAGAGCCACTCCAGATGCTTCTCTTTCAGGCCCCATTGAGCTTTCCAGGACTTCTTCGCTGCAGAGGTTTTTGTTGTTGTTTTCTTTTTTTTTTTTTTTATGAGTTTTTTTTTTTTTTTGAGACTCTGTAGCCCAGGCTAGCCTTGAATGCAGGCTGATTCTCCTGCTTCAACCTTCCAAATTCTGGGATTAAAGGCATGTTTCACTGTGCCTGGGTGTGTGTGTTGGTTTGTTTTTGAGACAGGATATCACTATGTATCTCTGGCTATCCTAGAACTCACTATGTAGACCAGGCTGGCCTCGAACCATTTCTGTAGCTAAAGCTGACTTCGAACTCCTGATCTTCCTCCCTCCACCTCCCAGCACTGCTGGAATTACAGGGGTGTGTCGCCATGCCCAACTCTCTCTCTGCAGGGTTTAATCCTCACTTTATATCTCATCTGGAAAAGGTGTAATCATCCTATTCGCTTGTGAGCCTATTAGCCATGTGCTGAGGATTTCACAACTGCCTTTTTACCCTGTGCCCCTCATGCTGTGGTCAGAAGAGGCCATCTAGGCACAGAAAAGTTAGAGAAGACACCTAAGATCACACAGAGAAGGCCCCAGGGCATAGTCGTTGAAAACGCTTTACTGCTGATGCATCTGGACCTCTGCCAGGCATCTCAGGGATGAGAAGAGCCAGCGCTGTCCTGATGGGGCTCTAGGCCCTGTCACATACCTTCATCTCTATTCGTCCAGCAGGGATTGGGCTGCAGCACCCCTGGGTAGGAGGACACCCTCTACCTGGT